TTTGAGATTAAAATATAATTTCATCATTTTCATAATTTTCTTCTTCCAACCCTTCCTATATTCCTTTGCTTAAGCTCCTTTAATTCATAATTTATATTTACATTAAAGTTTCTGTAAAGCATAGAACCCTGACAATAGAACAAAAGTAACAGCCTACAGACTTGGAAAGGATCTTCACCAACTATATCTGACAGAGAGCTAATATCCAAAATATATATTGTAATCAAGAAGTTAAACAGCAACAAACCAGATAATCCCAATAAAATGTGGTACAGAGCTAAACAGAGAATTTTCAACAGAGGACTATTGAATGACAGAAAAACATGTAACAGAACACTCAACATCCTTAGTCATTAGGGAAATGCAATTCAGAATGACTCTGAGATTCTATCTTACACTCATCAGAATGACTAAGATCGAAAACTTGAGGTGAGAGCATATGCTGGCAATGATGTGGAGAAAGGGGAACATTCTTTCATTGCAGGTGGGTGTATAACCTTCGACAAGCACTTTGGAAATCAATCTGGCGCTTTCTCAGAAAATTAGAAATAGTGCTACCTTAAGATCCAGCTATACTACTCCTAGGCATAGTCCAAAATATGCACAAGTATACAACAAGGTCATTTGCTCAATCATGTTCATAGCAGCCCTATTTGTAGCAGACAGAATCTGGAAACAACGTATATGTCTCTCAACCAAAGCATGGATAAAGAAATTGTGATGGAGTCGATGATCTTACCTTGTTTCATTGCTTGTTTTCTTTTCATTTTTGTTGGGATATTATCTGTATGCCCTGTTTTCTTGGGAGCTCTACAAGGACCAAACATATCTGGGCACAGGGTCTTTTCTGAGACTGACAATCAACCAAGGACCATCTATGGATATAACCTAGAACTTCTGCTCGGATGTGGCCCGTGGTAGCTCAGTAACCAAGTAGTTTTCCAAAGTAAGGGGAACACGGACTATTTCTAACAGGATCTCAAGGGCAGGCTGTTTGACACCCCCCCCCCAGGGGAGGAGCAGTCTGTTAGGCCACAGAGGAGGACTTTGCAGCCAGCCCTGAAGATACCTGATAAAACAGGGTCAGATGAAAGGGGAGGAGGTCCTCCCCTATCAGTGGACTTGGAAAGGGGCAGGGAGGAGACCAGGGAGGGAGTGTGGGGTTGGGAAGGGAATGAGGGAGCGGGATACAGCTGGGACACAGAGTTAACAAAATGTAACTAAAAAGAAAAAAATAATAATAAAAAAAAGAAAAAAAAAGAAATTGTGGTATATTTACACAATGGAATACTACTCAGATAGTAAAAGCAAGAAAAACATGAAAATTTCAGGCAAATGGATGGAACAAGAAAAGATCATTTTGAGTGAGGTAACCTATAAGAAGAAAGACACACATGATACACACTTACTTATAAACTGATATTAGCCATATAATACAGGATAACTGTACTACAATCCTCTGATGCAAAGAAGGTAAATAACAAGGAAGCCCCTAGGGTGATTAATTCTCATTTAGAAGGGCAAATAGAATAGACATCAGAAACAGTTGAAGAGAGGGAGCAGGATGGGAGTCTACCATAAATGTCCACTGAAAGACTCCACCCAGTAAAGGATCAAAGCAGATGTTAAGACTCACAGCCAAACTTTGGGGAAAAAGCAGGGAGGCTTAAGAAAGAGTGGGGGAATATAAGTATGCAAGGGGACAAGAGCTCTATTGGAAGACCAACAGAACCAACAAACCTGGGCCCCTGGTGGCCTGCAGAAACTGATGCACCAACAAAACTCCATGTGTTGAGAAGACCTAGACTCCCTGCTCAGATGTAGCCAATAGGCAACTTAGTCTCCATGTGGGTTCCCTAATAAGGAGAGAAGGCACTGTCTCTGACATGGACTCTGATGCCTGCTCTTTGATCACTTCCCCCTGGTCTTTGCCAGGCCACAGAGGAAAAGGGTGCAGGCAGGTGTAATGAGACATGATAGCCTAGAGACAAATTGTAGGTGAGGAGGGCTCTCCCTTTCTGAGGACTAGGGGAGAGGAATGGTGGGGGGGAAGGGGAGTGGGACCTGAAATAGACAAGGGAGGATGCTACAATTGGAATGTAAAGTGAATATATTAAAAAATAAATTAAAATAGTAGAATATGCAGATTAAATAGAAGATATAAAAATTTCTATGACTTACCACTCAGTGGTTGTAGTACTTTGAGTGGGAATCCTATAACCTTATATGTTTAAATATTTGGTTCTCAGTTTGTAGGCCTGTTTGGAAAAGATTAGAAGTTGTGGTATTTTTGAGGAGATATATCAGTGGGCAAGTGGGTTTTCTATTTCCTTTTTGCTTCCTAATTGTTAATCAAGATGTGAATTCTCAGCTTTTCCTGCCACCATGCCTTTAGTCCACCATTATGCACAAGAATCCTCTGAAACCATTAGCTAATTTAAGTGATTTATCTTATAAGTCTCCCTTTTTAGGGTTTTTGTCACAGAAATAGAAAGTAACTCATTCAGTGTTGATAATTCAATATATGCTGTGTTTTTCCCTTCCATTTTGTGGTGCAACCTATTTGTCTTCACACACACACCACAATAATGAAACAAAAAAAACCATCTAAAACAAGTTTTTAAATGTATGGATATTTTTTTAATTTTTTATGTAAATTTTATTAATTACACTTTATTCATTTTGTATCCCCCATAAGCCCCTCCCTCTTCCTCTCTCAATCCCCCCTCCCTCCCCTTTTTGCATGCATAACCCTCCCAAAGTCCACTGATAGGGGAGGTCCTCCTCTCCTTCTTTTTGATCTTAGTCTATCAGTTCTCATCAGAAGTGGCTGCATTGTCATCTTCTGTGGCCTGATAAGGCTGCTCCCCCCTCAGGGTGAGGTGATCAAAGAACAGGGCAATCAGATTATGTCAGAGGCAGTCCCTCTTCCCATTACTATGTAACCCACTTAGACACTGAACTACCATGGGCTACATCTGTGCAGGGGTTCTAGGTTATCTCCATGAATAGTCCTTGATTGGAGTATGAGTCTCTGGGAAGTTCCCTATGTTCAAATTTTCTTGTGCTGTTGCTCTCCTTGTGGAGACCCTGTCCTCTCCAGCTCTTACTATTTCCCACTTCTGACATAAAATTCCATTCACTCTCCCCGACAGTTGGCCATTAGGCTCAACACCTTCTTTGATAGTCTGCAGGGTTTTAAATGATGTTTCTTATTCTAAAAGATAGTAAATCCACTACTATTGAAATTGAACTGTCTCAATTTCACCAAGTGACTTATCTAGGATACAAGCTTCATAGAATAACATTAAAATGTTTTTGGAAAAGCCAGCCTATTTCAGTTTTATCCCACTGAACTAATACATAAATTAAAATTTTCGTTTATTCAGAGAATACTTCATACTTCATAATTATTTTCTGGTAATTGATATATAATCTATTTTAATATTTTTAGTTTGTTTCCTTTCCCTCAGTATAACTTTTCTGCACACTCTCCTGAGTATTGAAGCATGGGGCAGGGCCAGTTACCCATACTCATGACAACAGGGCTAGATCTTCCACCTACCATAGGTAGCAAGAGACAAGGGAGGGGAAAAGTGTGTCTCTCCCTCATATGTAACACAGTACAGCAGACAAGAGGCAGAGCCACCTCTCCTGTGCTCACAACCTCAGGGATGACTCATCTGTAAACTCTCTGTCCAGTGCCACAATAGGGGCAGGGACAGCTCTCCTGCTTTCATGACTCCAGGGTCAGCTCTTCTGCCTAGGTGGCAATGGGAGAGTGGAAGAGAGGACACCTCTTCTTTTCCCATGCTGCCTCAAAATAGACAAGGCTTATACCCTTGGCTTGCTCATTTATATGTTCCACATTCAAGGCCAGCTGTACTTATGCTGCCCATGTAAGTTGGAAGACCTGCTTTCCTGAGTGCTATAGAAGGTGAAGGGCAGTACCAACTCTTTAGCTCTGATGACCTGGGGCCAGCTTTTCTTCCTGCCTTAGCTGGCAAGGGAAAAGGAGGAGGACAACTCTCCTTCACCCATGTCACTGTATGACAAGCAGTAGGGTCAGCCCTTCTATACTCACACCCTTGGGCCAGCTTGTCCACACTTTCTGCCATGAGGTGTGCTGTCCAGGGGAGGTGCAAACCCTGCTCTCCTGAGGGCTAGAGCAGATAAGAGGCAGAAACAACTCTTCTGCTCTCATGACTCCAAGGCCAGGTCTCTGACCTGATACTGGTGTTAAGGGGGAAAGAGGCCAGGAGGTTATCTCTCCCTTGTCCATGCCACCACAGAGGAGACATGTGGCAAGGCCTGCTCTCCCATGCCATACAATAGGTGCTATCTCAGCTGCAACTCCCACAATATGAAGACCTAATCTGATTACTGATGCTGTCTAGCTCTGAGTCAGCTCTCTTGCTCTCATACTACCATCATGGGAAACATGGCCCAGTTGAAGAGTGGTAGCAATTATGCACAGCCCTCAGAAACTGACATGTCCTCTGGCACCAGAAGCAGACCAGGGATTTCTACACTGCCTTTAATGGTAACAGATTGCTGCTGCTGCAACACCTTGGAGCCAGACATGGCTCCCAGTGGCAGCACAGGCCGGGACCCCATTATGGTCCCAGGTGGCATTACCAGCTACTCACATCAAGCTATTCATCACTATTGTCCTGTCTCCAGTTCCACCTCACATCATTGTGTCCACATACTTCTGTTTCTTCCATTTTTCTACCACTGATTTTCTCCTCTTAGTAGAGTCCAGGGTCTTTGAGTGTTTGGGGTCATCTCTGTTGTGGTCTTAGGAGTGCTATGCCTTGCTTATACATTATGGTACCAGGCAGATGTCATCTTAAGTATAGTCTGTACCCAGAGGCCTGCACAGCATTGGGGATCACAGGCAGAATTTTTTATTATCTGGCTGGTTCCCTGCCCCAGGAGCCCATAGCGACCAGCACATCTCCTTATTGGTGATTATCTGAGACTATCACTATTCAGGGAAGTTTAGGCTACTAATGATTCAAATGTTTACAGGTCAGAACACTGACCATAAACAGCCTCTCTCCTCTTTGCCACTGACTGACACACATGCGACACAGCAGAATACATGTAAGGCATCTACCGGCAGTTTTCTTTTTGTTTTTACATACATTTTTTATGTGTCTGTGTGCCTGCATGACTGTACTTGTGCCAATTGCTTACCTGAGGTCAGATGCCCTTCAACTGAAGTTAAGGTGGTTATGAGACACTTGATGTAGTTTCTAAGAACCAAAATTGATTCTTCTGGAAGAGCAGCAAGTGCATGCACACCAATAAATCTCTGTAAGCCCCTGTGTGTTTTTTGAACCAGTGTGATTCTATTTATATACCTCTGGTGCTTTATTTGTGTTTTATGCTGATATTTAAAACTTATTTTTGTATGAGTGGTTTCAATCCAACATGAAACTTGAAAGTATTTCCTTCAGCACTTGCTGATCAAGGAAGACACATGTATATATATATATATATATATATATATATATATATATATATATATATATATATATATATATATATATATATATATAT